CCAGCAAGGATGAAGTTCCCCCTCCATACTTGTCCTCTGAGATCCCCCCAGCTGGGTATGTTGGGGTGCCTCCCATGCCTGGTGAGGGTAGAAGTTGAGGCTCCCCAATGCCCTTGCTGGTGTGGTTGGGGTTCGGGCGACAATTGATTTCTAGGTGTTTGGTTATTTTCTGAAAGCTCTGTTGTGCTGGATTCCCCTTTCCTGGTTCCTTGGCTAGAGGGAGCAGACTTCTGGGGGACTTTATTTACAATATTTTTCTTTACCATTCATGTTTCTGAGTTGCTGCTTCTTCAGCTCCAAGTCTGGATCGATAAGGCAAAAAGAAAATCCAGGGAACTCACCACCTTTCATTCCTGTGTCCCAATGTACCTAGCCAGCCTGCCTCCTCTCTACCTTTCAGGGTCTCTTACGTTTATTTTCTGTGTAATGTCCAGTATTTGGGGTTGTGCTTAGTGGGAAGCAGAGGGAAAAGTGTGTCCACTTCATATTCCCCAAAGCAAAACAACTCTTTTTGCTGAGTCCTGTTACTTACTGACTCTAAGTTACTTGAGAAAAACAAGCCTATGCTGGACAGTTCTGTATCCCCTGTTAGGCCTGTGCATAGGAAGGTGCTTAATAGTTATTTGTAGACTGACTGGTTTGGTTGTTCACGTGGCACCTTCACCTCACAGAGAGAAGTTCTGAGAATTGTGACCAGGCGGGGACTGTTAGCATCTTATTGAACCTGTCCACACCTGTGGCTGTGGAAGTGCTCATTAGGCTCCCAGCTTCCTAAGGAGCTGGGCTGGCATTGCCCATTTCACCATCACAAAGAGGTTATGAGCAGAAGGCTCGTGCCCCTGAGACCCACGAGTTGCTGTGGTTGAGCTAAGGCCTTCTCATTTCACGACAGGCGCCCTCTTGGGGGACCCCCCTACTTCTGGGAACTTGCAGCAGGGGATCTAGATCGTTCACCCATGTCTCCTTTGAAACAGGAGGACCATGACACTATGGAAGCCGATCTGGACAAAGACGAACTGATCCAGCCCCAGCTTGGAGAACTCTCAGGCGAGAAGCTCCTGACCACAGAGTACTTGGGAGTAAGTACCCCGTGAAGGGGTAGGGGTCCTGAAATAGAAAGGAGAGGTGGACCGGCGATGACTGAGCATTTGCAATAGCACATAAGGGTTTGCTTTGGTCTGTTACGATGCTGTGTTTCTGAGAAGTTCCATGTTAGCCAGTTTGCTTCCAGTGGCCCTAAAATGCACGGTGGCCCTAGCTACCTGTCACAAAGAGACCTGCTGGTGAACAGAAAAGGGACTTGAATATAACTAAAAGGGACACTCCAGGGACCTTCATAATATCTGAGGGCCTGCCCGTCCTTAATAGTAATCATCTACTGGCCAGCTTCTTAATTTTCATGTGTCTTATCCATTAGAAGGGAATTGGACGTCGTCAGCACACAGGTGATGGCTGAAACCATCAGAGCAGATGTGGTTGCTCGCTGAAGCAGAGGGTGGAAAAGGAGAAAGGGGCTGAGGACAGAGGACTCAACCAGCATGTCAGGAGTGGAAGAAAGAAAAGGGGCCCCGAAGAGGACAGGAAACGAACAGAGAGGCTTGAGGAGAACAGGAGGACACAGTGCCATGGAAAACAGAAGGGACGGGTGTTTCAGGATGGACTGAGAAGTCAGTTCAAACCTCCGAGAGGCCTGTGGAGTCATCACACGCCTGTGATGGGGCCAAATTCTGACCTCTGACTGCTCCCCAAGGACTCTGATGCTTAGCAGCAGCTCCGGGAGCCACTGGTTACCACCCACCAGCTAAGTAGGGAAGAGCATGAGTCTGGAGGGAGCTGG